CTTAATAGACACGACTCTAATGGAGATAATTGTGAAAACAGACGACTCTTTGGTGACGGAGAGAGCGGCCCTTCTCTGCAGTTCTTGTGATCTGAACGCGAAGTCACTGTTTGTGTTACCAGTGAGTGATGTCTCGCAACTCATGGGCTATATATTGAGGTCAGCAATGGTTTCATTGAAAGATGTGAATCCAATACTAAACTTATGATTGAATGACTGCTAGAATGGAAACGGCTTTATATGAGTTGTCGAAAGCCTATTACCAACACGAATGCAAACTAATCAAAGGGCACAGGGATCAGCTCAACAAAACCACGCATCAGTTACTATACGTGAGACATCAGTTCAAAATAGCGCTGTTCAGTGAACTCAAACAGGACCCGAGCACTGCCCTCAAGTCAGTATTGTCTCACACTTCTTATAGTTAACAATAATAGTGATGATAATCGTTGCGATTGTCTCTCACACTAACAGACACTATAAGAACTCTTACGCAAACTTAATGGAAGTTCGCGTAACGCTAACCAACTTATATGAGATCAAAACCATCGGCGGTTTCATAAATTACAAGATTTGCAAATTATGTTTCCAATTGAATACACCATTGGATGCCATCTCGCAGTTCCGCAAACACATCGATATATTCAAAGGCAAGTGCGAGCCCAAGGAGATCGAGTTCGAGCACTCGGCCTGGCTTTCCAAACAGTACTCCCTGTTCGCCAGTCTGTTCGATGTGGCCATTATGTCGGGTCTCATACCCTCCCAAATGCAGAATCCCGGCTATTATTACATGGAGTCCGCACTGCAAGCCATGCAACGCCGCAAACTCTGTCTCTCTGTCTGCACTCAAACACAATTCAATGAATTAAATCCTCAAAACTTAGAGTTATTTAACTCTATATTACAATCCACTCAACAAATGGAGTTTTTCGGACAGAGATCGTGGAGACCCGGCTGTCAGAGTGAGTGTAGAAGTTATACTTTATTTTAGATTTGTTGCTTACATTGAGTTATTTATTGACTGAAGCACTCGAACCACTGGACGCAGAGAAAGAGAAAATTGGTTTAAAAGCCCTGCAATACAAAGAGCTGACGACTGTTAACCATTCGGTTCGTATGAATTTCATGTAATCTTTAGACCAAATATTAATTTATTCCGTATTATAGGCGTTAATAATAACAGCGTTGAGTAATGCGATCAATCAGTTCAAGAAATACAAGTGTCCGCGAATGAAGAGATATCTAATGGTATTGGTAGCCGAGGAGTACTTCTACAGCAAAGACTACACCAATTCGTTGACTTTCCTCAACAACGTGTTGCCCCAATACAGACAAGAGGGTTGGCTTATGTTGGTTCACAACATACTGAACACCGCATTACAGGCGGCCTATCTGTCGGCCGATGCCATCAATTTTGTGAAGTTAGGTCTCGAATGTATTTCTGTGACAAACAGTTCCCAGTTTGAAGACAAGATCGCCATTCAAGAGAGCATTGAAAATATAATGAGAAGACAATTACCACTTCTGCTACCATTTGTCGACAAAACTGATGCCGAAAATTCATTGAAATTGTGGTCAAATGTCTTAAATGTGAGTTCAGAACCAATTGCTTTCACTATGAAAATTGATTCGCTAATGAAATTCATTGAATGCAAGCCTCAGTTCACGTCAAAAACATTTTGTTGTAACGAAAGTATTAAACTAGACCTCTATTTGCAATCATTCGCCCCAAAACCCATTCAATTAACAAAACTAAATGTTTTATTTTCTGATGAATATTATAATGAGTTTTGTGAATATGTCGACACATCTGATAACGAATTAGAAAATACTTTATTACTAAAGCCTTTAAAATTACAAAAGTTTTCATTTAATATAAATCCGTTGTTTAAAAACATTGAACAAAATGTGACAATAGTTGGCGTGAATGTAACTCTTGGCAGCGAATCCATGTGTGCAGTACTGCAGTGGGCTTTCAGTGATAAAACCAATGAAAATGTTTTGCCAAATTTAAAACCACATTCACATGATATGACAGACATTAAACAGATATCAAGTCTATTGTCAACAAATATTGTCAAATATAATCCCAAATTAGAGTTAACTGTAGGACACAATCCGCCGGCGCTTTTGAATGAGTTTTTCCCATTGAAGTTATCCCTTAAGAATAGGGAACAGTTTGATGTCTCAGACTTGAAACTCACTGTTAACGTGATGGACATAAATAGTGGTGACATCGCAATCGGCTCTCGGAGTCTTATATTACGTGACAATGCTTTCACAGATTTAGTGGAAAATTATTCACTCAATGATATCAAAGTTAACGATGAGATTAACGAAGAAATTGTCGTAAAGTTTGAGATCATTGGAAACCATTTCATAGTATTTCAATTGACATACGACTCGATGTATGATTTGGGAAATGACTGCAAAGCTATATCGCATTCAATCACTCAAAAAGTGGCCACAAATGTGTTGATTCCGTTCATCACTACTTGTGAGCTGACGAACCTCTCGTCCACTAAAGTATCGCAGATTCGCCGAAATGAGCCCTTCTTTGTGAATGTCGTGACCAAAGAGAACGTCGAGATTCCCATTGAAATCATTGAATCGATGCCACGATTTCACGAAACCATTAATTGTTTGTCGCAAACGAATAGACTGTCCAAAGAGAAAGTCTTCTTAGACCAGACTTTCAAAACTGTTGCTACCGTTGAATACATGTCTCAAATGTCTTTAGGAATGTATTCTATTAAATGGAAACGAAAATCAGATGCAGAATCTGGTATTCATAAGACATTGTTTTCCGAATCATTGGTTCCACTGCCGATGATATCAGTAGTGAGTTCTCCGGTTTTTGTCGATTTGAAGTGTCCGGACGTTTGTATTGCAAGAAATCCGATGATATTGTGCTATAATATATACAACCGAACGGATAATAACTTGTCTTTAGAGCTCTCAATGGGTACTTCCGATAACTTTATGTATTCCGGAAACAAATTAGTGAGTATTTCCAACACTTTTCATATCATAACAATTTATATACCAGTATTAATACTTATCAATACCAAAAAGCTTTTAACTAATCTTAAAATGCTTAGTCTAATATCTAAACTACAATTATTCCACATCTATTATTAAAGGTGTTATATAGTTTTGTCGCAATCCTTATAACTAATATTTGAGTGAATACTGTTATATCGTATAATTTTGAATTTACCTTAAGTTAGTATAGAGTAAAAACTATGGAATTTGTTAGAAAATATAGTAAAAATAAATTGAATTTGAATTTAGATTCAAATTGTATTGGAAGCGAATCAAAGCGCAGAACAGCATTACATACTCTACCCATTGGTTTGCGGATCAATAATTTTGCCTAAATTTCG